AGATGAGGTCTCCCTGCCCAGGCGGGTCTCGAACCCACGGGCTCAGGCAATTCACTCACCTCAGCCTCCCAAAGGCGTGGGATTATAGGCTGAGCACCGAGCCCGGCTCCTTAATGTATTTTTAAATGCTTATTCTTTTTTTTTTTTTTTTGAAGCTAGAAAGGAGGTCTTGCTATGCTGCCCAGGGTGGTCTCAAACTCTTGGGCTCAAGCAATCCTCCTACCTCAGCCTCCCAAAGTGCTGGGATTATAGGTGTAAACCACCATACCTAGCCCAATGCTTATTCTTTTCCAAAACACTAAAGAAGTTGAGAATATGTTTAAAAATTGAAAATTGGTATGTGAAAAGTCATATTAAGTTTAAATATTTTATCTATACCTAAAACAAAACTAATTATAATTTTACTTTACTGGTTTAAATAAAAGCAAACTCAGCAATAGTATTTTCAAAATCTACTTGTGGAAAAATAAACCACTAAAAATTGCATGAAAACATGTACCAGTTGGGCTCGGTGGCTCAGCCTGTAATCCCGCGCCTTTGGGAGGCGGAGGTGAGTGGATTGCCTGAGCCCGCGGGTTTGCGACCCACCTGGGCAACTTGGTGAGACCTCATCTCTACAATAAATAAAAAAAATTAGCCGGGCGTGATAGCGCACGCCTGTAGTTCCAGCTACTTGGAAGGCTGAGGCGGAAGGATCGCTGGAGCCCAGCAGGTCAAGGCTGCGGTGGCCAGGAGCGGCCACTGCACTCCAGTCTGGGTGACAGAGTGAGACTCCAACTCAAAAAAAAAGAAAAAAGAAAACATGTACCATGGTCATGTGGTTTTGGGTTTGCTTGTTTGGTTGGTTTTGGTTTTAGATTTTGCCTCTGGCTCTAACATAGCCTGGTGCCAATGCAACTGTGAAAATTGTAAGAATTGACTCTAGCTCAACAACTTAAATGAACACTGAAAGTCTAGGAGATATGCTTTAGTGAGTGATCTTAGAAAATTTTGTTTTTGTTGGCCTGATGTGGTGGCTTGCACATGTAATCCCACCACTGTGGGAGGCCAAGGCGGGAGGATTCCTTAAGGCCAGAGTTTGAGACCAACCTGGGCAACACCGTGAGACCCTGTCTCTTAAAAAAAAAAAAAGAAAGCCGGGCTCGGTGGCTCAGCCTGTAATCCTGCGCCTTGGGAGGCTGAGGTGAGTGGATTGCCTGAGCCCGTGGGTTTGATACCCGCCTGGGCAACCTGGAGAGACCTCATCTCTACAATAAATCAAAAATTAGCCGGGTGTGGTAACGCGCGCCTGTAATTCCGGCTACTTGGAAAACTGAGGCAGAAGGATCGCCGGAGCCCAAGGGGTCGAGGCTGTGGTGGCCGGAAGCGGCCACTGCACTTCAGTCTGGGCAACAGAGTGAGACTCGGACTCAAAAAAAAAAAGAAAGAGAGAGAGAGAGAAACAAATAAAGGAAAAGTTTACATTTATTAATATTTTTGTCTATAATAATGAAACATACAGAAACTGAAGTTATATAAACTAAGTTAATGTAGATTGCCACATTAGTTAACCCAGAACCAAACATGCAGGTTACGCTCTCTCATTAGGAAACTTTCTTCCATTTTACCTCTAATCTCATTTGCCTTTATCTGACATTCTTCAGGGTAGTCTTAACATGGTTACTTCAAAAAATATCCCATATCTGGCAATATATTCCTCTTTTTTATACTTAATTCTAATAGAGTAAATAATTGTGTCCTTCCTCAAGTTGTTTCTGATGGGATACCATGGAATCCTAGAACAAGATCCTAGAGTAGGAATCAGAGTCTGTTGGTCACCGCTATTCACACTTCATGGTGTGGCTCATCTTTGCCTACTACTAATTTCAAAATGATAATGTCACTTAAAATAGTTTGACCCCTAGCCGGGCTCGGTGGCTCAGCCTGTAATCCCATGCCTTTGGGAGGCTGAGGTGAGTGGATTGCCTGAGTCCGCGGGTTCAAGATCCGCCTGGGCAGTGAGACCTCATCTCTACAATAAATCAAAAAATCAGCCGGGCGTGGTAGCGCATGCCTGTAATTCCGGCTACTTGGAAGGCTAAGGCGGAAGGATCGCTGGAGCCCAGCAGGTCAAGGCTGCGGTGGCCGGGAGCAGCCACTGCACTCCAGTCTGAGCGAGAGTGAGACTCCAACTCAAAAAAAAAAAAAAAGAAAGAAAGAAAATGAGAGTGGTCGCTCTCTACTGCTTTGCATTGTTAAGATTTCTTCCAAAGTGTCAAGTTCATTTTAAAATGCCACATTTTGAGAGGAAGTCAGCATATCAAATAGTGTCTTTCAGACACTTTTTGCCATGACCCACGGTAAGAAACATGTTTTACTTTACAACTGTGTATGTGTCTCCTATATCTGTCTAAAAAGTTTCAAAATCAACCTTTACTTTAATACTTTAAGTAATGATTTTAATATTTTTTTTTCTGCTGAATTGTATTATGTCTTCTTTTTTTCTTATTTATTTCATGACCCAACATAAGTATAATCCACATTTTGAAAAACACTGGTCTGGAAGTTCTTATAATTTAACAGTTATAAGAATTATCCTAATTGTTATTATTACCATAATCCTTTTGACACTAAATAATAACTTGCTTGATTTGTTATGACTTATTTAAGGATAGCGGATGTTATTTAGCATATACTTACTATATCATATAGGAGATTGCCATACCACATATCAGGGCAACGGTGAAGGCTATACACGCAATTAAAATTACTAGGGAAAGAACAGGTCTATGTGGAATTATTGCTAAAAATGGAAAAAAAAGAAGTTCTTAAAAATGTTATTTTAGCTGTCTCTCTCAGTTAATATATTTATTAATCATATTGTTATTACAAAGGGGAATAGGAGACAAAAATCAGAAATGTCTTTAAAAATAGTATTCTTAATTTTTAAACATACTGAGGTTAGAATGCATAACCTGCATGAACAAACATACTTTGAATTCGCAACAATCCCTGCCTCCCTTTTTTCTCCATCTCCTGTCCTTGGCCAAAGCAAAGCCCTCCCTTTTGCCTTGTAGAGATACTGGATCCCTTTCTCTATATAGCAACATCCAACTTCTGGGTGGCCAAAAGGAAAGTGGCCTTCATTTTATGATTCAAGGGTCACCTTGATGGTCTCAAGTTGTGTGGTGCTGTCATGTAAGGATATTTCAGCGCAGCTTAGGAATTCCACAAACCTTCATTCCAGTTGTCAGATTTGGGGGCTATGGAATGTGCTATAAAACCATCGTTGTTCTTTGTGGGCTCAGGTATATCCTCCTTCTTCATATTATCTGAAATTTTAAGAAATAACCAGACAGTGTTTGCACAAATTGAACAAAGGAACACTTGGCAAAGGAGTTATGTTACTCTGTCACTCAGAATCTGACAAATTGAATAGCTACTCCTTGTCTTCCACTTGGCCTCCCTGCTACTCTGCTCCTTCCCTGGCACAGGACAAACACTTCGGCCAGTTGAGCTGGAAAATCCCTCAATGGAAACTTCCCTCTGCGTGACAAAAACAACCTGGACTGTGACAAAACTGAGTATAAAATAATTTTAGAGAAGATTTAGCTAAGAGTGTGAAATGTAATCCCATCAGTAAACAACATGTATGTATGTTTTCAAATTTTCATAGCAAAATATTGTGGGAGAGAAAAGAACATGAGTTCAGATGGTTTGGGTATGACGAGAATGAAAACTGAATTGGGCATCAGAGAGGTGAACAGAGACCAGGGAAAAGGCAGTATTAGCAGTGTGGCAGGGAAGCAAGCTTGACTGCAACAGGTGCAGGAGAGAACAAGGGAAGGAACTGGAGACAGTGAGTTTTGATAATTATATTGAGAAGCTTTGTATAAAAGAGGGATGAGAATGCATGCAGCTTCTGAAGGGGGCTGAGAGATCAAAAGATGAATTTTGGATTTTAAAATGGGAAAATTGACAGCATATTCGTGTGAGAGTAGAAATGAGACAATAAACTGCAATAATACAGTGTCAATCTATTCAGGCTGCTCTAACAAAATACCATAGACAGGGTGGCCTGCAAACAACAGAAATGTATTTCTCACAGTTTTGGAAACTGGAAGAGCAAGATCAAGGCACCAATAAGCTTGGTGTCTAGTGAAGGCTACTCTCTGGTTCAACAGATGGTGTCTTCTTTGCTATGTCCTCACATGGTAGAAGGAGTGAGCTAGCTCTCTAGGACCTCTCCGTTTTTTTTCTTTTTTTGAGTTGGAGTCTCACTCTGTCACCCAGACTGAAGTGCAGTGGCACCTGATGGCCACCGCAGCCTCAACCCCCTGGGCTCAGGTGGTCCTTCCACCTTGGCCTTTGAAGTAGCTGGAACTACAGTCATGTGCCACCATGCCTGCCTAATTTTATAATTTATTGTAGAGATAAGGTCTCACCATTTGGTGTGCAGCTGAACTTCTGCCTTTTTCCTGTAAATAATTAAGACCTCACCATGTTGCTCAGGCTGGTCTCGAACCCCTGAACTCAGGAAATCCTCTCGTCTCTGCCTCCCAAAGTGCTGGGATTACAGGTTTAGGCCACCACACCCGGCCTCTGGGGCCTCTTTTATAAGGACAGTAATCCAAACTGTGAGGGCTCTAGCCTGTTGACTTAATCACCTCCCAGAGGCCTCATCTCCTAATACTTTTTCCTTCTTTACAATCACTTTATGTCTGGGTATCTTGCTATAATTGATTAAAACAGATCCCAGTTATATTTTGACACTCACTCTGGGTCAGAAGTAAATGCACTGTTTTTACATTTATAAGAATCATCAAGCTGGGCTCGGTGGCTCAGCCTGTAATCCCGCGTCTTTGGGAGTCTGAGGTGAGTGGATTGCCTGAGCCCGTGGGTTTGAGACCTGCCTGGGCAGGTGAGACCTCATCTCTACAAAAAAATCAAAAAATTAGCCGGGCGTGGTAGCGCGCGCCTATAGTTCCAGTTACTCGGAAGGCTGAGGTGGAAGGATCGCCGGAGCCCAGCAGGTCGAGGCTGCGGTGGCCAGGAGCGGCCACTGCACTCCAGTCTGGGCGACGGAGTGAGACTCCAACTCAAAAAAAAAAAAAGAATCATCAGCTGGGCACAGTGGCTGAGGCAGGAGGACCACATAAGCCCAGGAGATCAAGGCTGTGGTGAGCCGTGATCATGCCACTGCATTCCAGCTTGAGCGATAGAGTGAGACCCCAACTCAAAAAATCATCATCATCATCATCATCAATTTCCCTGTCTAGAAGTTGTACTCATTACTAGCTGACAAACAAGATGTGAGTTTATGTTTCCTTATTTCTCTGCCAAGACACTTAGGAAACATTTTACCCACTTTCAGCATGATAGCTGAAAACTGGAATTATGGTATAGTTTTGTAAAATTAAATAACTCAAACTTAAAATAATTTAAATGTAAAGGAACTTTAAATTATTTTGAGTCTCAAGAGGAACGTGGTCATGTAGTCTAAATCATATGGTGTGCAGCTGAACTTCTGCCTTTTTCCTGTAAATAATTAAGACCAGTTAGCAACATAAATTAAGCCCCCTTAGATCACTACTCTTCCTCACAGAGGAATAAATAATCTTTCAGGCTGGGTACAGTGGCTCAGCCTTTAATTCCAGCTCTTTGGGAGGCCGAGGCAAGATGAATGTCTAAACCCAGGGGTTTGAGACCAGCCAGGGTAACTTGGTGAGACCTCATCTCTACAGTAAATGACAAAAACTAGCCAGGCACGCTGGTGTGCATCTGGAGTTCCAGCTACTTGGAAGGCTGAGGTGAAAGGATCACCTGAACCCAGCAAGTCGAGACTGCAGTGGCTGTGAACGTACCACTGCACTCCAGCCTGGGCAACAAAGAGTGAGACTCCAACTCATAAATGAATAAATAAATAAATAATCTCCCTTAGAATACAGTATCTATAACCAAACTGTTGTGTGCACTGGTAGCATATGGAAAATGTTGTGATCCTGCTGGAACTTCTGTCACTGCCTATATATGTGAAACTTTAACTTCTCCATGTGGGAAACGCCATCTTTTGGAGTCAGTGTCTCCACATGGCTATTCTTTTTTTTTTTGAGGTGAAGTCTCACTTTGTCGCCCAGACTGGAGTGCAGTGGCTGCTCTTGGCCACCGCAGCCTCGACCTGCTGGACTCTGGCGATCCTTCCGCCTCAGCCTTCCAAGTAGCCAGAACTACAGGGGCGTGCTACCACACCCAGCTAATTTTTTGATTTATTGTAGAAATGAGATCTCACCAAGTTGCCCAGGCGGGTCTCGCACCCGCGGGCTCAGACAATCCACTCACCTCAGCCTCCCAAGGCGCGGGATTACAGGTTGAGCCACCGAGCCCGGCGCCTATAACATTTTTAAACAATGGGGAAGGTGAGGAACTGACCCACAATAGCTGACCCAATGTAGGCCCTTAGTAGATAGTAAAGAAAGAGAAGGAAGAACGATCTAGAGTGGAAGGAACAGCAAGACACAGGGTGGCCTTCTGGTTTGGAGAACTCCGAAGCAAGTAGTTTTGAGGAGGTTCCAGGAAGAAAAACCAAGGAGGGGAAAAGTTGCTAGAAAGACTGCTGACAGTGGGGAGGGAGATGGGATTAACGGTAGTAAATATCTGTCTGGGAACGGGGAAACACCTCTTATTAACAAGGGTACCTGAACGAAACGTATTTGTATACCTAACCCTTAACTGTACCCCACAATATCATAATAAAAATATTGATTATAATAAAAAAAAGACTGCTGACAGGGCTGCTGTGGATGACTGTGCACTGTGTGTTACACAAAGGGACCACAAATGCAGCCTGTGTTTTACTGACCAAGATGCCAGTCCATGGGACTGTGCTACTTCATCTTTCCAAGCAGTGACACTGCTGATCTAATGTGCACAAGGGGGCTATGTAGGCTCTGTGGTGCCAAGCCCAGTATTCTCTGTAGCCTCACACCATGACTGCTTCAGGAATGTTGTGGATTCTACCCACCCTCCCAGATCCCTTGACTTACTGTTATTCCTCATGAATTTCATGGGGTTACTAGGTAATCTAGCTAGAAGGCCATTGGAGGAGATCAAAAAGGAGAGACTGGTTTAAAATGGATTTAGGAAAATAATGAAGTAACTCAGCATTAGACAAGAAAGCCTAACACATAGATTCCAAACACCTAAGATGGTAAATGTCAATACATTTGTCCAATGTCTAGTAGAAATATGTGAGTTAATTTGCAAAAGCATGTGTTTCATTTGCATCCAGTGTTTCCTGTCACGAATATGGACATTTAATAACATGATACATTGGGTTTTTGGTCTTCTTTTTTAGTCACACAAGTTGGGAAACCTCTGCCCAACTTGAGGACCTGGAGAGACTTAGAGTTGAAGGGGCTATGATTGCAGCAGAAGGTCAGAGAGGCAGTGCCAGGACAAGGGCAGCAGCAATGTCTTTTCCTCAAATACAAATTAAATGTATCTAACAAACAGCATTTCTGTTATATGGAATGGAGATTGTTTATAAGCATTACATGTCTCCACAGGATCGCTGCCTGACTTCATAGATTGTCAGGATTGGTTTTGCTGGGGGTTTTTTTTGTTTTTTTTTTTTTTGAGTTGGAGTCTCACTCTGTCGCCCAGGCTGGAGTGCAGTGGCCGCTCCTGGCCACCACAGCCTCAACCTGCTGAGCTCCGGTAATCCTTCCGCCTCAGCCTTCCAAGTAGCTGAAACTACAGGCGCGTGCTACCACACCCGGCTAATTTTTTTTTTTTTAATTTATTATAGAGATGAGGTCTCACCAAGTTGCCCTTT